ACAAGTTTGGTTGAGGTTGATCATTCGGTTGGATTCCTTCAAAAGCTCATTCGCTTGAATCTTAAAGGATGTTGTAACCTTACATTATTTCCAAGAAGTATTAACTTGAAATGTCTCGAGAGATAGAAAGAATACTTTCTGTATATTTGTTTTCTTAATGAGAAAGAAATTACAACTGAGTATATATACACTTTGCTAAATAAACTTAGTGACTAATGACCACTAGATTAGCATCTAATAACAGGAATTAGTTACAACCAAATTACAACTGTTAAAACATAAAAATATCTAATGATGAGGTGTCCCTTTACCCTCCCTCAAGCTAAGCGGAGGATCTCTGAGAGAAAGCTTGGACTGCAGTAGCTTGAATCTGGCCTTGGACAGTGCCTTGGTATGAATGTCAGCAATTTGATGATGGGTACTGATATGAAGAACCTGAATCAGATTTGCTAAAACAAGTTCTCTAATGTAATGATAGTCAATTTCCACATGCTTTGTGCGAGCATGGAAGACGGGATTAGAAGCCAGAGAAATGGCAGAAACATTATCACACCAGAGTTTAGGAACTTGCCGAAGAGGAAAAAGGACATCCTGTAAAATTTTACAGATCCAGGTTAACTCTACAGCTGTGTGAGCAAGGGATCTATATTAAGCCTCTGTGGACGATCTAGCAACTGTGTGTTGCTTCTTTGCGCTCCAACTAATCAGATTGGGACCAAGATACACACAATAACCACTGGTTGATCGTCTGTCAAAGGGGCATCCAGCCCAATCAGCATCCGAATAGGCTGTAAGATGTAAGGGACCTTGCTTGAACCACATACCTTGAGTAATAGAACCCTTAAGAAATCTCAAGATTCTTTTTACTGCTTGAAGATGAGGTTCTCTCGATCAATGGAGAAATTGGCACACTTGGTTTACAGCAAAAGAGATATCTGGTCGTGTCCAAGTAAGATACTGAAGTGCACCTACAATGGATATGAACTCCTTGGGATTGGTTAGTAAAGGACCAGTGTGATCCAATTTAACTGATCCAAGAGGAGTAGAACATGGTTTGCAACCATCCATATTTGTTTTAACAAGTAAATCAAGAGCATACTTGCCTTGAGACAAGAATAAGCTAGCTGTGGTTCTGTGAACTTCTAACCCGAGGAAAAAATGAAGAGGACCCAAATCCTTGACAGGAAATAAACTGCTCAATTTGTGAATGAAGGCTTGACAGTGAGAAGCATTTGGACCAGTCACGAGAATGTCATCGACATACACAAGGACTATAACCAGAGAGGGCTGTGTTTGAACAAAAAGAGAGGAATCAGATTGGGAATTTGCAAAACCAAGAGAGCTGAGAGCATGAAAAAGTTTATCATACCAGGCTCTGGGAGCCTGTTTTAAACCATAGAGAGACTTGGTAAGTTTGCAAACAAAGGATGACTGTGTTGGATCAATAAATCCAGGTGGTTGCTACATAAAGACTGCTTCCTTGAGATTGCCATGAAGAAAGGCATTACTGATATCTAATTGATTTAGAAACCAGTTTTGTTGAACAGCAAGTGTGAGCAAAATTCGAATTGTAACTGGCTTGGCAACCGGACTAAATGTCTCCTGAAAATCAACCCATTCTTGCTGATGAAACCCCTTAGCTACAAGACGAGCTTTGTACCTATCAATGGTACCATCAGGTTTTCTCTTAATTCGGAACACCCATTTACACCCGACAATATTCTGATTTGGAGATGAAGGAACTAAAGTCCACGTACCAGTACTTTGCAAGGCTTGAAACTCTTCAAACATTGCTTGTCTCCAATGCTCATATTTGGAAGCTTAAGCATAAGTAGTAGGGACAAAGGTGCTGGTGTCAATAGGATGCTTGGTAGCAGCTAAAATCTTGGGTTTAAAGATCCCAGCCTTGGACCTTGTTAGCATAGGATGTGTGTTTGTAGGAACAATAGGGGGAGAAGAAGCAACAGTGATTGAGGATGGAACAGGGACTGAAGATGCAACAGGAACTGAAGGGGAAACTGGAACTGGAGATGCAGCAGGTACTGGAGATGCAACGGGTACTGGTGATGAAGTAGAAGTATGAGGAGGTGATTGTAGTGAAGACGGAGCTACATTAGATAAGGGAGCAGTGCTATCCAAGATTGATGGGTGAGGCTTATCCCAATAAGGAAAGGGAAGAGTAAATGAGGAAGAAGAGTTGGAGGCAGATCCCAATGAGACAGGGTCATGTGACTGTGATGAGCTTTTGAAAGGAAAATGATCCTCATAAAAAAGAACATGTCTTGATATGTACACCCGATGAGTTTGAATGTCCAAGCACCTGTAACCCTTGTGTTGCAAACTATAGCCGAGAAAGACACATTGGGTACTCTTGCCATCAAGTTTGGAAGAAACATATGGTTTAAGCCAGGGATAACAGCTACAACCAAAAATTTTCAGCTTGGAATAATCTGGAGCCTTTTTGAATAGTAGTTCCCAAGGAGAGGTGACCAGATTTGATAAGGGTAACCGATTAATAAAATACAAGGCTGTGCTGAAAGCTTCTACCCAGTATTTGTGAGGTACACTCGAAGCAACTAGAAGAGTTCGAGCAGTTTCTGTGAGATGTCGATGTTTATGCTCAACACACCCATTTCGCTCGGGAGTGTGTGGACAGCTATATTGATGACAAATACCATGAGTAGCAAGAAAAGAATTAAAAGCAGAACTAGTAAATTCTCCTCCAGAGTCAGATCTGAAAATTTTTATTCGATTTCCAACCAAGTTTTTAACATAAGCCTTGAAACTGACAAATACAGAAAACACTTCAGATTTTGCCTTCAATGGAAACAGCCATGTGTATTTAGTGAACTCATCAACAAAGAGAACATAATACTTGTAACCACTAACAGAGACAACGGGAGCTGGACCCCAAATAGCACAATGAATCAGTTCAAGACTTGCAGAAGCACTACTAGTACTGGAAGAAAAAGGTAATTTGTGATTTTTACCAATGGCACAATCAGTACAAAAGAAGCTAACAGAATTGCTACCACTATGAGCAAGTTGAGCTTTATTTAAAATCTTCCTAAACATTGCAATAGAAGGATGGCCAAGCCGCCTATGCCATGTCGGAAGATAAGCTTTAGTGCTAAGAAAAGCTGATGGTGCAGAAGTGGAGGGAATGCCTTGAAGAGGATAGAAACCTTCATTGACCGGTCCGTGAAAAAGCTCCTCCCCGTAGAGCGATCCTTGATTGTAGAACCATCAGAATCAAGGGTCAATGCACAAAAATTATCTTTTAAAAACTGATAGGCATAGAGAAGATTGAATTTCATCTTGGGAACATGAAGAACATTGTTCAATCGAAATGTAGCAGATGGTGTTTTAATCATAGAAGGACCAGAATGATGAATGGACATACCTTGTCCATCACCAATGTAAACCTTCTCTTCGCCGGAGTAGGGAACAGGAGAATGAAGAGCAGCAATATCATTAGTGATATGAGATGTAGCTCCAGAATCAATGAGCCACGTAGAAGAAGTTTTAGAATTTGTGTGAACACACATAGCAGCCAATTTGGCAGGGGGTATTTTGCCAGCATACGCATGATTCATGCGTTCATAGCAATCAATAGCTTCATGCTCAAGGGAGTGACAGATTTGACAAGAAGTTTTACCCCCAAAATAAGAACCAGAGTTGTTGTTATTATTGCGATTGAAACCACCAGAGTTATAGCGATTTCCACCAGAATTATGTCGAAAAGAACCAGAACCATTTCCAGAGTTATGAAAGTTACCACGAAACTGAGTAAAGTTCTTGGAGTAGTTACCACGATTGTGGCGCTGAGAGACCCCTTTGCCATTGCCATGATTGTTCTGAAACCTGGGAGGAGCATTGAAATGTGCAGCATAGGCTTGAGAAAAAGAAGAGTATGGTGGTGTAGGAAGAAGAGGACCCTGAGAGTGAGCTACAAAGGCCTGAAAAGGTTCTTGAGCTGAAGAGACAGCGTCTTTCTTTTTGCGATTCATGAATAATTCCTTGTTTATTAATAAACCATGCAGTTCATCTAAAGTAGTAGAAGAGATGCGCAACATAATAGAGTCAATAAACGATTCATAGTCATCAGATAAACCATTGAGAGTGACAGCAATAAGATCCTGATCAGAGACTGGAGAACCAGCCGCCATAAGAGCTTCAGAAATACCTTTGATGCGCTGCAGATACTCAGAAATCGAAGAATCACCTTTGTGTATAGCATGGAGACGAGAGCGGAGTTGGTGAATATGAGCAGCAGAGACGCCCCCAAATCGATTTTCAAGATTAAGCCAAAGATCATGAGACGAAGTTACACCGACAGTAAACGGAATGATTTCTTCAGAGAGAGTAGAGTTAAGCCAAATAAGAATGTTTTGATCCTTCTCATACCAAGCTTCATAGGCAGGATTAGGGTTTCCAGTAAGACGACCATTCTGATCAAGAAGATAAGGTGGTGGAGAGAGCTCGGAACCGTCAACAATACCGGTGAGCTTATAACGCCTGAAAATTGGAGCAAATAGAGCCTTCCAAACTAAGCAATTGTCACGCTTCAGCTTCATAGGCACCATACAACTAATATTCTGAATTGTGATTGATGCAATCGACGAATTAGAAAAATTAGGGTTCATCGCAGAGAAATTGGGGGCGACGAATTCAGTCGATGCAGGATTTGGAGGAACAATTTCAGGAGGGGAAGGTGACGATGAGGCCGACGCCATTGTTGAGAAGAAGAAGCTTGAGATCAAGAAGAATGAACCGCAAAGAAAGGAGGATCGAAAGGCGGTGAAGCAGAGAGGCGAATGATACCAAGATAGAAAGAATACTTTCTGTATATTTGTTTTCTTAATGAGAAAGAAATTACAACTGAGTATATATACACTTTGCTAAATAAACTTAGTGACTAATGACCACTAGATTAACATCTAATAACAGGAATTAGTTACAACCAAATTACAGCTGTTAAAACATAAAAATATCTAATGATGAGGTGTCCCTTTATTGAGTCTATATACCTTGGTGATTGTGGCAAGCTTGAGCATTTCCCTGAAATTGCTGGAAAGATGGGATCTTTAACATGGATGGATGTATCTCGCACTGCCATCAAAGAATTGCCTTCGTCAATAGGATATCTCACTGGTCTTCAAACTTTACTTTTACTCGGATGTGAAAACCTTACTACTCTGCCATTCAGTATTTATGAGTTGCAGCATCTAAAGGTTGTTTATTTTCATGGATGCCCAAATCTAGTCACATTTCCAAGTAAGGCGACATTTGAATTATCATCGAGTGCAGAACCTGGTCCTTTGCTGCTTCCAACGAACTCAAACAGTTCACTTGACAACTGTGGCTCTTTATTGCTTCCAAAACTGGAGGAGTTTGATATCAAAGGAGGCAATTTATCAGAAATTAATTTCCTTGGTACTCTTGACAGTGTGTCTACCTTATTCAGACTTGATCTATCAGGAAGTAATTTTGTTACTTTTTCGGTAAGCATTACCACATATATTAGCTTCAGGATACTTGACTTGCATGGCTGCAAAAGGCTTGAGGAAATTCCAGAACTTCCACCAAAAGTAGGGTGGCTGGATGCGAGTGGTTGCGTATCATTGGAAAGGTTTTCGAAATTGTCAAACATAATGGAATCTAAAGAGTTACAGATGATTTCTTGGATTGACTTGTCCAATTGCCGGGGACTGTTTGACAATTTGGCTCGTAATGGGGAAAAGATGAAAAATAGTTCAGTGAATGATCAGGCTTCCGCCTTCTCTGATTTCCTTCTGATGTCTTCTCAACAATCTAAATTCCAGGTCGTATTTCCAGGAAATGAAATTCCAAAGTGGTTCAGCTGTCATAAGGATTTGGAGGAGCTTGGATGATATTGTGAATTTTATTTTGAAATTCCTGAAAATTTCAAATGGGAGAACAAAGGATTGGCTCTCTTTGCTGGTGTTGAAAAACCACAAGATGAACCTTATCCTTACTACAGCAACTTTAAAAGTTCTCCTTACTTTATAGCTGAATTCTACGTCAATGAGAAACGCATTCACACAATTAAGTCTGATTTTGGTTTAACAATATTTGAGTCAGATCATGTTTGGTTGTACCACATTCCATTCTGTGAAATGATGAAGGAGCTTGACGAGTCTACATGTCCACAGCCACCTTCACAGTGTCGAGTTAGTTTTCAACTTCCTTTCAAGTGTTAAAAAGCTTCGGTGCACACCTTGTAATGCCAAAGAATATCTCAACATCTATGGAGGTATTGGTCCACGAAGATACTGCTAAAAGAGAAATGATTGGTGAAGAGATTGGTTCTCCGGTGGTAGTGATGAAAGAATCAGATGATGATGATGATAATGTAGGCAATGAAGAGTTGGAAGATGACTGCTTCAGCTGTGGAGATGAGGAGGAAGACTTGAAAGGCATTTTTGAAAATTCTCTTGTGACTTTTTGATTGCAAGTCGACATCAGGTATACTTTAACTTTATTAGTCATCCCGTGTGCTTTAGGAAAATATAAAGTTATATATATATATATATGTATGTATGTATGTATGTATGTATGTATGTATGTATGTATATGTTTCATATATATACATATATATATGTATTTATGTACTATATATGTATGTTTCATATGACACACTCCGACCGAAATCAAGGCGTGCTGGCCGTCATGTGAGGGTGACGTAGCCATGTGCACAGTGTGGAAGCAATAATAATTATAGAAATGTGAATAAATAAAAAAAACCAAACTACTAGCAGTACTAGCTAAGAACAAGTGTAAGATTAAGTGTGATAAACACAATCAGAGCATAAGTGGCCTAAGTCAGTCCAGCAGGATGAAAACTAATTATACAACACCCAAAGGTGATCCTACATTTGTGTTGTTCTGTCAGAACCACCGTCAAGATCCTCATGAGCCACCAAAGCACTTCTACCTAAAACCTGGAGGGGCGCAAAACAGAAAGTGTGAGTGGGCAAAAACAAAACTTTTCAAAATCATTTCATTTCTCAAAAGTTCTAACCCCTCGCCATAAAACCTGTATAATTTCCTAGAAAATAGAATATATATATATATATATATATATATATATATATATATATATATCTAAACCACAACCATGCTCAGAATAACAACATTCACAAATATGCCATATCGAATATCTCAGCATAAAATATAAGTAAGCCAGGTGATATAAGTCAATGCAAATGATATGTCAGCCGGAGTCACCTAACGTGACCTGTACAGCTGAATCTAAAGCTTAAATCCACATCTCAACAACTATCCTTGCACACGAGTCGGAACCACCTAAAGTGGTCTGTACGACAGGACTGGGTGTAAATAAATATGCTCAAGTACTACGATCACGTGAAGAATGTGCGAATAATTGCGGGTCACCTATGAGTCATAACCACCTAACGTGGTCTGTACGATATGACTGTGCACCTAACTTGGATCCAAGGTGAGCGTATGGTGTGGGAGGTGAACATCACGTGAAGGACTGTGCCCTAACTCTGGGCGGGAGCACTAACATCGGGGTGCAGGTTTATGAGCTCTCAACCCATCTCACATAATCAACAATTCACAACCATAATCTATAAACTTACCTGGCACTTACTTGTGTGTCTGCAACACCAATCATAAATATGTGCAACGACTAATGCATAAATAAAATAGGTAGATACTTTGCATGGCATTTCAAAACATATAATCATTCAATTTCATTTTTTGGGAAAAAATCTCAAGTATATAGGTATATACAGAAAACCAAAAGCCCACTCACTCATATGTGGGAGGGTCGTAGCCCCCGAGCCTCAAGTGACTGTGCTCGTCCTCAGGATAGGTCTCACCTATATGCGAAACAACTATACAAACGTTAATTTAATGCACAACCAAAACTAGGTAATAACTTCGCATACAATACTCAAATGGGGTGTTTGAATATACCAACGTGATCTAGTCAACTACACGAACATCCCCATATTTTTAGAAAAATTTTCTAACCACTCACACGTCGGCCAAGGAACGGCCAGACACGCCAGCCACGCTTTGGCACGTGCCTGGCACACATACGGAAACCCTAATGGTGTTAGGGAATATTTTGTCCAAAAATGGAATATACCGTTATATATACCTAACGCCGTTAGTATATTCCGTCAAAGTTGACTGAATATTCTTCGTTTTCTCCGGTGATCCTCGCCGAAGCTGCCGCCGGCCGCCGTCTGCGTCGCTGAAAACTGGAAAAACTTCTAATCGTTATATCTTCTTCGTTTCTAAACCAAAATCCATGAAATTTGTACCAAAATGAAGCTTACGACGAGTAGAACAAAACATTACCACTTTTGGGACTTAAATCCAAACAAAACTCGCCGGAAAAACCTTTGATATTCCGACCAAACCTGTAACTCACTAAACCTGGGCTTCCCGACGTCCAAATCACTTCAAAATTACTCCCCGAGCTTCGTGAAGACGTTCTAAAGCTCCCTAGAAGCTTAAAAGCTTCTAAAAAGTTCGCGATCAAGATTGCATGAACAATGCACCAAAATGGGGTTCTTGGTTTCTCGGGAAAATGAAGTCCTCACGTCCTAAAATTGGTATAGATGAGATCATATAGTTACAAGGAAGGTGATGATGGTGTCCACAAGCTTGATCCGTAAATGGAAAGCTAGATTAGGAGTTGTCCGAACAGGTTGTACGGACGGATGAAAACGATCGAGAGGGAGAGAGAGAAAAAAGGGTCAACGAGATTGTTTGGGTGTGTGTGTGTGGTCCTAGTTGGCAACAAAACAACCAACCAAAACAAAAGCTTAAGTCCTTTAGTTCTAATTGGGTCCAAACAAGTTGGACTAAACTTATTTGGTCCACAACGAAAGTAAAACCACACGACACTACACAACGTCCAAGGGTAAAATCGTCATTCCATGCCATCATTAAAAATATTTCGGGACGGGCTGTCACATCATATATATATATATATATGTACGTTTCATTTATATAAATATACATATATATATAAATATACATATACATATACATATACATACATATATATATATATATGTTTCATTTGCAAACTTCTATAGTTTGATTTAAGTGGTTCTTGTATATGATTCACAGTAGGCAGTATAAAGTTATATTTCCCAACTAATTATATTTCATCATTTACAGCTTCAAGCTGTTTCATCTTGCTAATCTTTGAACATTTTTTGGAAGTGGAATCTCCCTCGATTTGTGATCACATGGTATTCTGGTGTGTGCTATTCCTGGTGGCTTCCCAGTGTCTTTCTTGTTGTTCAGGCTCCTGCTTTTGCTGGTTTGGTGGGTTGCTTTGGTTGGGAAGCCCTATTGATTCATGATTGTTCTCCCTTTGTGCATTGCTGTTGTTGTTTATGTTTGGTTGTTTTTCATGGTTACTCTTTTTCAGTGGTGCAACCCGATGGACATCAGATTTTTACTTTACTGATTTGTGTTGTCTTCAACAGCATTGCCACTTGTTTTTGTTTTGTTTTGTTTGTTTGTCCTTTTTTTTTTTTTAATTTTTTTTTATTTAACAAACGATATTATCTACTCTAAGAGCATTTTCAATGTAGTAAGGCCCCTTGAGCTATAGGCAACACAATCCCCTTAGTTAACAGTAATTGCCTATAGTGAACGGTAACTGCTCAAGTGTATTTACACCCCTGAATAGCCTAGACAATTCGTATTACAAAAAAAATATAAGAACATGGTTATGTATTAATATTTTTATTGTATTTTTAATTTTTGCTAATGTCATTGTGACGTCATCATTGTATAACATAAGGTAGGCGCTAGGCCTGTCGATTTTTGCCTAGGAGAGAAATTGGGATCCCCCGAAGCCTAGTGAACTTGATACACTGAGGCCCTTTTTTGGGCGGTTGCTGGGGGGGGGGGGGAGAGGAGGGAGCATGAGGGGATTAACCCACAATGGAACTGCTCTAAGGGTGAAGGGGTAAGTTTAGCCTCACAATGGGTTAGCAATAATGTGGTTCAAATTCGCTTTTGCTAATAATCGAATCTAAGATCTCTCACTTACAAGTGAAGAGGAATACCACTACACCGCAGTACTAAATGGTGCATTACTGCTTTGAGTACATTTATGTGTTTGAAATCAACTGTAGCTAGAATGTTAGTGGCAATCGCTAATTGCTTAACTGCATGTTCACTATTGTGTATTGCAACCAGTATCTTGTTAAAAGCTAGGTAGATGGATGTCATTTGGTCTCAACAAGCTTACGAGGCTTATGGGTTGTTTGATATAATCATTTCGTTTTCAAATTTTAATTCTTGTTTTTACTTTTTTTTTTTAACTAAAAACTTATTTGGTAACTGTTTTGAAAAATATGAAAACAAAAAACAAAAAATTGAAAGCTACGTTATGAGTTTTCAAAATTTGGCTTGATTTTGGGGCCATTTGATAACCATTTTTTTTTCTTTTAGAATTTGAAAAACTAACAACTTGCTTGGTAACTGTTTTATGTTTTCATGAAAGAACAACAAAAAAATTGTGAACCAAAAGCTAAAAGTGTTGGAGGCCTAAATTTAATTGAAAAGGAGAGAGAGTGGTGTGGTCAAAAAGAGAGAAAAGAGAGGTGGAAAATTATGTGTGTGTTATTTCCTCTTGCTCTGTGTTTTCATTTATTGTAGACATAATGGGCTTACTTACCCTACAAGTAAGAAAACCTAGGATCTTCCAGATTACATTATTGCATAGGAATCCTAAACACAATCTATTAGGATTTACACAATCACTTGTGTGCTATAATTTTAACTACAACACTCCCCCTTGAGCGTGTAAAATACTAAAGTAAATGACATATCAAATCTTCAGGGATGATGTAGAAGCAGTTGATGT